GGTCTGGGGGCTGCCCGGCAATCCGTGAAGCCGGTAGCGCTCGGGCAGCCCTTTTCACGTGGCTGGGAGTGGGAGGGAGGAGGGGCGGAGTTAGGGTGGGGCTGGGGGTGGGGGAATGGGCGGGGCCAGAGCCTGTGGAGGGTCCTCTTTTTTTATTTGTTAAATATGGTAACCCTAAATTAATGCACATATTAAAATTACTTTTGCATCATACACTTACACACCCATTTGGTGATTTATGTCACTTTCCTTGCCCTAGCTAGTAGCTGGACTCCATATCTCTAGCTAGTCTTTTAAAAGTCTTTGTAGTTAACATATCAAAAAGTCCAAATAGAAAGGAATGATGTGAAGAACATACCGAAGCTCAAGAAAGAGCTGGAGTGGTTTGACTGGGAAGATTCTGGTGGTTTTGCCAGTGAAGATGGGTTACAGATACCTGGAAACACATAAGAAAACTTTAGCAGTGGGTGGCCACTTTAATTGCCTAAAAACATATCAGAGACAAATAAACACCTCCTCACTTCCTGGTACTCTGAAATATATGCAGATTGTTACTTTAACACGAGAGGTAATCTCCCTAACATACAAGCTTTATGGGCACGCATGAATAATACGCTGTACAATACACTGGGCATCTTGTTCGCTCAAAGTCAGATTGAAATTTTAAGCAATCCAAGTTTTAAAATAAATCGTTTTAATTTCAGAGACTCAGCATGGAGTTAAAGTGACCATACAGTCTTAGTGAGAAATTCCTTATTAATGTACAAAACACGGGAGGGAGTTGCATTCCGTGCAAGATCCAAGACAGAGACAAATGTGACTGTATGCCATCTTTGCTTTTCCTTACTCCCACCCAGTCATGGGGCCAATTTAGCCTATGGCATAATCTACTGCAGCCTTGAGTTCGCTCTAATTTGCATCCACTACAATAGTCTCCCAGGCTGGTATGTCATCTCGTAAAGGCCAAAGTACCTCAGCATTCAGGCCACCACCCCAACATACCTCCTACTCTGGAGCTAGAATGGGGGAATGACATAGAACTGAATACTCTGGTTGTATGCCACTTGGGAATACCCCGGTGCTGGAGGAAATCCGCAACCAGTTTGTTAAGGCAGTTTTCCACCTGCTTTGTGCTACTAGAGTGATGGAAAGCAAATGGAACAGGGACCAGGATCTGGCCTAGGAGTGCCCATCATAATGGGATAACAGAGCATGTGAATGACAGACTGTCTTGGCAGCTGCAGTTAGAGAACTGTCCCTCATAACCAGTGCTCAGTAAGAGAATATCCCTGTGGATATGGAACCTGATCTTGCAGAACCTTACTTACACAAGCTGTCATACTGTTTTTGATAGGATTACTTTTGGAGGAATAGTGTAGGATCAGACCCTACACCATTCCTCCAAATGTTGGCAAATGAACCGACAATATAAATACTAATAATACTCTTAATTCTGCTACAGGTAAATGCTTTGCTATGACATTAAATCAACACGTTTGTTTCACAAGATGTTTTTGGCTGTGACTAATTTAAAAGTAGATGGATCAGATGTTAGGATGCCTGCAGTTTTAGGTAACACTTTTTATATGACAGCACCTCAGAATGCATGGGAAAGGCTGGGCAAAACAAGCCAAAAGCGTGATTAGTTTCTATGTACAGGAACTGGGATGGCAAGCCAATGCAGATTTCATATACACTAGCAACCTTGATCTTGAGTGAGACCATTAGCAATAATGGCTACATTGAGACATATAGATATTTAATTAATTCAGTCTCTGAAGTGCTTTGAGATGTCCAAAAGAAAGGTATTAGAGAAGAGCAGCAGATTATTCATCCAGTCAGCTGGTGACTACCCTCAGCTCCAACCAAGAGCAATAGGAGTGAAGGAGCCTCAGCATCTTGCCGGTTCAGGTCTTAAAAGAGTAACAGATCTGTTTGCTACATTACATACACCCCACCAGGCAGACAGGCTTGCTGATGATCAAGAGACTTACTCTTTTTCATGTTTCGTAAAATTTTCAAGCTCTGTAAAAAAAAAAAAGTTTTTAAATTAAAGATTCTGTTGTTGAGAGAACCATTTGCATCAAGCTGGAGATCAGCGCCTACTGCTAACAACCATGCAAAACAGTATGCATATATAGGGTTACCATATTTAACAAATAAAAAAAGAGAACCCTCCACGGGGCCCTGGCCCCGCCCATTTCCCACCCTTCCCCGCCCCAACCCCGCCCCAACCCCGCCCTAACTCCACCCCCTCCTCCCTCCCACTCCCAGCCACGCGAAAAGGGCTGCCCGAGCGTTACCGGCTTCACGGTTTGCCGGGCAGCCCCCAGACCCTGCGCTCCCAGCCGGCCCAGGAGGGGAAGCGCCCAGCCAGGGGCGCAGGGTCTGGAGGCTGCCCGGCAAACCGTGAAGCCGG